TTTCGACACCACGAATGCGAGGGTCAAAAACGTGAGCAGTGCCGAACACCGCTTTGACAGCATGACTGTACCTCTGGTCAGAGACACGCTTCTGTTCGATGCGGTTGTTTCCACTGCGACCTTCATTGCTCTTACCCGCGCTGGGAAGGACGAGGGGAAGGACGCGCTTGCGGCCCTGGAGTACATGGACGGCCAGCCTGGTGAATTTCGCTTAATAATATTTGGGATGATGGCAGATGGGTTCTCAGAAGTAATGCGCTTCATTCGTTGGTGGGATAATGAAGGATACGATCCAGCTGAGATTTCTGTTCGAATCGCGAGCCTCGTTACTACGTTGGATTGGCTGTTTGCGAAGAAGAATTGCGTGCAGTTCGAGAAGGAACGCCCCTGCGAAGTTGAAAACATCGAGGCAACTGTGTTGACCTGTTGCCCAGCCCCCGAAAAGTGAAACACAATGTGAAAACGGACGACGATGTTTCATTGCTCTGGAAGGTCCCGGGATGGTCCGATTGTTCGCCTTCGATGTTTTCATGTTCGCGAGCCTTGTGAAGGCTTACACGAAGATTATGCTGGGCCATTTGGCACGGAGCCGCAGCGTCGTGCACCGAGGTAAAACATATGCAATTGGGGGGCACAGCAACAAGCAGCATGCTATCAACATAGCTTTGTCACACATGTGTAAGTGGGTTTCAACTCTTGTGCCTGTGATTCAGGCTGAGTTCCCAGCGTGGAATATATTGCAGGCTTTTGGGGTGTTGAGGCTAACAGGAGGAGATGTACTCAACTCGGCAGATATTGATCGTCTCCGCCGCTTTGCCCAAGTGTCCAAAATAAACTTTGATGCTTTGCGCGCAGATATCTTATTTGGTTTGCCGCACGCCAAACAGATGATGCGTGATGAGAAATTGTCTACTTTTGAGGTGTGGAAATCAGTCGTGGTCAAATATGAACAAGCACGTTCTTTCTCGGCTCTAAAGGCTTTGCTGGCCAGGCATGGGGCCTACGTTGGGTGCACGACCAGTGGCGTGGAGTTTGTTCACAGTTCACACGAATGTTTATTCACATCGAGGCGTGGGCTGGACACGTCATCCGAAAACATTGAATTGAAGCTAGTTGTGGATAAACCTGGCACTGAAGCGGCCGTGCTTGAAGTTATTGATATGGCCAGGGACGTATGGCGAACGATGTTCGGCCAACCTCGAGTCCATCTGAAAGCCCGCCGCGATGCAGGTTCCACCCGAGGCCTTTTGCCAGGGACGCTCAAGTTTTGGACCCACGCGAGAACAGAAGAGATCGGCACCGCGGTGGCAGCGAGTGGCCAGTCACAATCTTTGGAGGAGGTGTTGCAACGTGCGCGTGCCAGAAGTAACTTCGTTTGCAACGAAGCTGAAAAAGAGATACAGTTCAATGCGGCCAAACGGCGAGTGCAATTTCTGGAAGACCTCCGATCTGGCAAATTACTTCCTCACGAATATTCCCATGCAGATCTCACCGAGGCCCGGGAGCTCACGGAGCACCAGCAGAACCTGAAGAGACTCAGGCAGGCTTGGGCAGTGAAGTTCCAGTGAGCTGGATTGGAGTGGGGGCTTTAGAATTCAGCATACTTCCAATGCCCCCCGTCCTCGTCCTCTTCCTCCTGCTGCTGCTGCTGCTCCTCCCCCCCCTTCCTTTCTCCCTTGTCCCCCTTCCCCTCCTCCTGGAACCTACCTCCGTCGTCCTACGCTTGAGTCCTCCTCCTCCTCCTCCTCCTCCTCCTCCGTTGCCGCTTTTGGCAGGGAGGTAGGTGGGAGTCAGACGTCGGCCCATCCAAGCCTCGTTTCTTGTACCTCGCGTGCGTCGCCCCCATTAGGCTGAACGCCGCTGCCAAGAGACAGACGGCGCTGGCCAAGCCGACCGCGTTCGACGTTTCAGGCATGGCGATATACATCGATCAAGGGGCCCGTCTCCAATTCCGTTCCCTGCTCGAGTGGTGCATCAATAAAGGGGCGACGGTTGACTCGCATCCCCACCTTGGTTCTGATGTTTATGTCACTCCCACCCCAGGGAAACTGCCAGAGTTGGTCCGTTTAGTCGCCATGCTCAAAGGGGCCCGTGTGTGTGATCCTGATTACGTGACGTCCGGGGGCGCGCGGGGAACATGTCTTACATACTGTTCTGCAATGACCCGGGGCGGCACGCATGCCAAGCCCCGCATATGGTGGGCATCGTCTGCTTTCCGCTCAACGCATCGGGTGGCATACACCTTGATGCAACATTTCACATCTCTGCCATCGAGCGTTTGGCGCGAGGAGTTGGATTATGCGGCATACGCCGATCACGTAGAGAAGAATCACAGGGGCCCAGGGAGACAACATCGGCCCATGCAAGCAATTGCCGTGCTAACTGCCCAGCAGCTCAGCACCCAAGATTGCAAGCCTTATTTTTTTCACTTGCTACTTTGATAGAAAAATTCGTAGTGCTGGGTGCGCATTCTGCTCTAGGGGTGTGTGGAATGTAAATCACAAGTTACTACTTGCTGTGAGCTGCTGCTACAAACATGCCCCGTTTCATCCTCCCTCGTCTTCGCATCCATGCGCCCCCTCGTCCTCGCTCCTCCACCGCGCCCTTCTCATCCTCTCGTTCCTCTCCCCTCCCCTATTCGCCCTCTTTCTCCTCCTCCTCCTCGTCCTCCTCCTCCTCCTCCTCTTCCTTCTCTTCCTCCTCCTCTCCCAACATGTTTCAACGTGATTAGAACCATGTTGCGCATTCTCAGCAACCTCTTCCTCCCCCTCCTCCTCCTCATCATCCTCGTCCTCCTTCGGTCTTTGTCCCAATCCGATTCGAAACACATTCCCCCCACCTCCTGCGACACAGATTGACAACATCGGGGGGTCAGTGAGCCTGTCCCCCACCGCTGCACTACACTCGGGATCAAATCGCCTCCGAGCTCTCGGCCGAAGGCCACTTGCAGTAAAGTTTCCGGGGCTGCCGCGGGCCGCGACCTCTTGCAGTAAAGTTTCCGGGGCTGCACGTTCGACATGCTTTAGGGTTAGGCAAAGGATTAGGAGGATGAGGAGGAGGAGGAGGAGGAGGAGGAAGAGGAGGGGGAGGAGGATGGAGGAGGGTAGACCTCGGGAGCAGTGAGGTTTGGCTGGGGCTCGGGATCGCCCCTGACCTCCCTAAGAGCTTACCCCCCCCTCCCCCCCCCCCTTAGGGAGGTCGGGGGCGCTCCTGAGCCACGGAAGGGGCGTGGGGGGACAGGGTCGATCTGGCGTAAGGGCTTACCCCCCCCTCCCCCCCCCCCTTAGGGAGGTCAGCCACTGTAATGGGCTATAGATTGCCGTGACCTCCCTAAGAGCTTACCCCCCCCTCCCCCCCCCCTTAGGGAGGTCGGGAGCGCTCCTGAGCCGCGGACGGGCTTACCCCCCCCTCCCCCCCCCCCTTAGGGAGGTCAGAGCCGATAAGGGCTGTTCCCATGACCTCGGGAGCAACGGCCCTCCCGAGGATAACAAAAAGGAAAACGAAGAGGAATGGGGGAGAAAGGGGAGGAATATGATGAGGATGAGGAGGGGGGTGAAGAGAAGGAGGAGGGTCGAAGAGGAGGAGAAATGGTGCGAATGGAAGAAGGAAGAGAGGGATGCGGCGGGGGGGGATATGTTTCAAATCGGCGTGGAAAAAAAAAAAAAAAAAAAAAAAAAAAAAAAAAAAAAAAAAAAAAAAAAAAAAAAAAAAAAAAAAAAAAAAAAAAAAAAAAAAAAAAAAAAAAAAAAACGAAGGAGGAGGAGGACGGGATGATGGGGGGGTAGGGGGGAGGAGGGATGAGAGAGGAAAGAAGAGAACGTATGCGGAGAAGGAGCAGGATGCAGGGTGAGACAGACGATCGTCGTCGCAACGTCGCAGTCGTGCTCGCTCGCTCTCTGCGGCCCCTCCCCGGCGCCCGCGGGCGCTTGCTGAAGTGCGAGGCGGGCCGCACGCCCGCGCTTGCACCCGCGCGTGCCGTGCCCCTCCACCTCTCCTCCTCCTCCTCCTCCTCCTCCTCCTCCTCCTCCTCCTCCTCTCCCAACATGTTTCAACGTGATTAGAACCATGTTGCGCATTCTCAGCAACCTCTTCCTCCTCCTCCTCCTCATCCTCCTTCCTCCTCTTCCTCCTCCTCCTCCTCCTCCCCCTCCTCCTCCTCCCCCTCCTCTCCGCACGTCGCTCCAGGAGTGAGGAAGATAAGGGGAAGCGGAGGATGAGGAGGATAAGGAGGAGGAGGAGCAGGAGGAGGAGGAGGAGGAGGACCGCCCTGGAGAATGATGATAGTTTCGGGAAGCGCGATTGACTCAGTGCGTCGCTAATTGAACAGAACTGGTGGCCAGTGGCGCCACCCTTTGCCCATCCAGTAGCAGGCATCTCTCGATTCTGCTGCACAGGGCGCAACCGATGGCACAACCAACTGACATAGCCTAAACCACATCGCAACCAATGGCGCAACCGATGTCACGCATCGCGGGTAATACATACATATATATATATATACATATGTATATATACAGCACAATGTTGCGCGCAACCTATGGCGAAACCGACGGCGAAGACCATGCACAGAGCATGCTGCAACCTATGGAGCAACACATGTAACGTATGGTGCACGCCCGTGGCAAGCGTGTTGCTCGAGTTGTTTGTGTTTTTTTGCCTCTTTCTTTCGCACCTCGCCTGCGGCGCAGTGCTTCGTTGCTGCCATGGTGAAGGAGGCTGCTCCCAAGAGGGCCCCCGTCGGCGGCCGCGGTGGCAAACGCCCTGTCCCCCCTGCCAAGTGCGAGCCAGTAGATGACAGCGAGTTGGGGGAGACGGCTGGGGCTGAGGCTGCAGCGGCTTTGGCGGCTGACCAGGTGATTTCAGAAGAGGAGTGCCAGGAGCCCCGGGATCCCAAGCCGAAGAGGAAGGCGGCGAGGAGGGCCGCTACCGATGGGTCGACGACGGCGGGCGCCTCCGGGAGTCGATCATCGGAAAGTGGATCGCCGTCGAAGGGATTGGAGGACACGCTGGCATCGGATCCCAACAGCGTGTTCTTCAGGGAGCTCATAGAGGCGATCCAGTGCATCAAGGATCACCGTGTCTTCCAAGACATCAACACTGCGGACGGGTACGGCCTGCCAAGCTCCGCGCATGCCGACCCGGGTGAAGTCGCCACTGGCGCTGGCCTCAACCCGACCAACTTCGTTCATTCCATCGAGGCGAGTGGCACGTACAGCTGCTACACGAACCTGTTCCTTATCGATTTGACGGCCGTGCAGTCCAAGCAGGTCCCGATATCCAGGAATAAGATCCGTGAGCTGCAGGACCACTTCTTCTCGCAGCCGACGTCCACTTGGCCGTTGCACTTGAGCGTGGCGGTCCGAAGCAACCAGCGCCCGCCCAACACGCACTGGGGTCCCGGGTGCTGCAGCCTCCTCACGGCGCCAGAGGTGGCATGGGCTTACGTCCTGTCGGTGGCCGAATCCATCAAGAATGGGGCCACCGACCCGGAGTTGGCGCCTTGGTACACTGGCTTGCTGGCTGCCCCGATGAAGTTTTGTAGGATCGATAACGAGCAGGAGCGGTACTGGGCCCACTTGCAGTCTCGCGAGGACCTGGTCCAAATGGCGGAGTCTGTCAAGCGCTCCCCAATCGAGAGAGGCTTTGACGTGATGGAAGCCAGGGTGTTGCTGGACTCGGGGAAGGAGCTGGGAGCCAAAGAGTGCGCTGGCCACTGGGCGAAGAACGTCAGGCTCGCCAAATCGTCCGAGCCGATCTCCGTGAGCTTCGTGGACGCCGTGTTCACCATCTGGAAGAGGGCGATGGGCGTCCCGCACTTGAAAGCGCTGGTGATGCGGTTCGAGACGGAGCTGAGCAGGTCCCCGTGGGACAGCATCTACAAGCTCGAGGCTGCGCTAGAACACATCCTCCTGCCTCCCTCCTCTCCCCCTCCTCCTCCCTCCTCCCTCCCCCTCCTGCCCCCTCCACGTCCTCCTCTTCCTCCTCCTCCTCCTCTTCCTCCTGATTATCCTCATCCTCCCCGTCCCCTCCCCCCTCCTCCTACTCCTCCTCCTCCTCCTCCTCCTCCTCCTCCTCCTCCTTCTCCTCCTCCTCCTCGTAATGTTCACCCTCGTCCTCCCAGGCTGTGGTGAAACGATGCTCCACCACCGCGAACATCACGTGGGCCCTCAGTGTCTTGTTCGACGCATTGAAGAATGGCCTCCTGACCGCCCCGGAGATCGCCTTGCGCCAGTTGCAAGGCAAAGGCATGCCGGGCAACAAGGGCATCCTCGATTTGTTTATGGCCAAGAAGGACGTCGCTGAGGCCATGTTCAAGCTAGGCAACGAGAAAGGCTTGAACAACTCCCTCTTGACTAAGATGGACTCGTGGCGAACCTCCATGGACAACTACCGCAACGACGTAGGCTACTGGGACGGCGCTGCGAAATCATACACGGTGAATAACCACTGGATCATGGCCCTCCCCCAGTCGGCCCAGAAGTTCCTCAAGATATGGGAGGAAGCGGTCGCTCTCTGCGAACACAACGACGCCCTGAAGCAGCGCAAGATCTCGGACCTGACGGTGAACGAGGGTTTTTTGAACAAGAAGCCCATTTCCGACCGCCTGGAGTCCATCTGGGAGGAGCTGGCGGAGGAGAACGGCGGGAAACCCAGCGGGGATGAGGACGGCAACAGCAAGCTCCAGCTCGCGGAGGTGGACGACATGGAGATCGAGGATGCGGTCATGGTCAGCAAGGTCTCCCGCACAGTGGCGCTGGCGAGCGACTCGGAAGGTTGGAATTGGAGCAAACGTGTGCTACGCATGGGCGTCGTTGCTTCTGACTTTCCCCTCCTCCTAATCCCCTACCCATTCCTCCTTCTTCCCCATCCACCCCCTCCTCATCCCGCCTTCATTTCTCCCCGGGAGGGGATTTGGAGGCGGGGAGTGAAGATGAAATGGAGGGGCATGGGGGGATGAACGGAGGAGAAGAACGGGGCGGAGGAGGGGGAAACGGAGGACGGGGAAGGGGATTAGGATTGGGGAGCGTTAGAAGCAACCACGCCCTAGCGTAGCGCGCTGTTTTCGATTCCACGGCAAGGGAGGCTCAGGAAGTGGGCGGACTACGCCAGGCAGAAGGTCAACAGGGTCGTCAAGCTCGAAGTGCACCCGGGCACCGTCGACGGCGTGGCCAGGATCTTCAAGGAGTCGGCCCTCAGCCTCAAGGTGGAAGCCAACTGCGCGACGACGAAGGACGACTTCAAGAAAATGAAATACATCACGGTGATCTATGACACGAAGCTCTCGGGGTCGGCCACGGCCCGCGCTCACCTCCGCATCGTCAACTTCCGCGAGAGCCACCAGAAGACGGGTATCAAGGGCATCATGACAGGCGCAGGCGATCAAAATTCGATCGCGGACAACTTGATGTTCTTCGTGTTGGACGGGCAGCAGCACGGGCATGAGACCAAGCTCATGAAGGCCTTCGTGGACGAGAACGGCAGGAGCGTGACCAAGGAGAAGAAGACGATCTACGTTGCGTGTTCGGAGTCTTCGCTCCGCAAGCGCCGAGCCAGGGTTCGTGGTTCCGTCTCGCTCTCATGCGTTGAGTTCTGCCACATTGTGACCCACAAGCCCTTGGCGCTGCCAGAGAAGACTCGGCTGCACTTCCCCGGGGCGACGCACTCGGACTTGCTCGGGCCCTTCGACGTGCCAGATAACAGTTCGGTGTGGCTGGTGCCTCAGAAGGACAAGGCGGAGATCTACGGCCCCGCCATGGTGGAGTCTGGTGGCTCCATTCCTGGCGATGACGCTCAGGCAGACCCAGCTCCCAAGCCAACCGACAGGGTTCCGCTGACCTACTGGAGCAACGGCAGCAAGATGTACGAGGAGCTCGACCACGGGGCCAACAGCGGGGGGTGGGTCGACCTCACGTGCATAGACGAGTACCTCGCCATGCTGTGCATCCGCCAGCAGAAGCCCTACTTGGGTTACTGCCCGACTGAGAAGCACAGATCGATGCTGTCGGACCGTCTCGAATGCTTGGTTTTCGACGCGTTCCAGACAGTCGGCGACTCGCTCTATGAGGCAGGCCTCGCGGAGCTGGTCAACCCCGACGGCAACGAGGAGGAGCCCGCCGCCGAGCAGGAGGATGAGGAGCTCGCCGAGGATGAGGAGACTCCGCCCAAGCCGCCGCCGACACCGAAGCCTGCAGGCCGCGGTGGCCGCGGCAACGGCCGCGGCGGCGGTGGCCGCGGCCGTGGGGGCCGCGGCAGTGGCAGTGGCAGTGGCAGCGGCGAGAAGGGGAAGCTCTTGGAGAGCTTGAAGGCTTTGGAGAGTGGTCAATGAAGGCTGCTCTGACCTCCGCCTCCACCTCCTCTTCATATCCCTCCTCCTCGCATTTGCTGCAACTGCAGGCTGCAGCTTCTGCTGCGGCTGCTGCTGCCCTTTTTCCCCAGCCGCCTGTATTCCCCCTGCCTCGCCTCTGCCTCCCCGGAGGTGGTCTCTCGGAGGTCTGCGAGGCGACTGCGCTGCCGCAGCGCAGACATCTTCATCCAGGGGTGTCGCCCTGGGGCCCTTGCCAGATCGCCCGCCAACAAGGCGGCAATAACGATGCAGTGTGGTGTGGAGGGGTGCGTGGATATGTCAATGCACGCACGTCGGGTGGCGGGTGGGGGTAAACGATCTTGGCATGCGTTTGAAGGTATCTTAGTCACACGTTCGGTTGGTTGCTTGCCGCCCATAGTTCGTATGGCAGTGCCCCAGCGGGGCAGTGTTGCCGCGATGTTTTGCATGCGGCGAGGGGAACTCATGGTGTAAGCACTGGCGCACTTAGACGGCATCGGTCGCTCCTGACCCCTCCGAGATCTCCCTGCCCCACACCCTCTCATTCCTTTCGGCGCCCCTCGCCCTGATTTAGAGCGACCGTGTCAGTGGGAAACGATGCTTTAACAAACTGTGGGGTAGGCCGATTTTCGGGCGAGCAGCCGCCCTTGGCTTCCGGGTTGCCCGCGACCCAGCGGCAGCAACGAAGAGAGGGGCGGAGGATGACGAGAGGAGGGGGAGAGGATGAGGATGGCGAGCCCGATGCTTGCACTGGCCTGCTACCGTTTTGGCATGCCGCGTAAAGAAACACACGTCCCCCTCCTCCCCCTCCTCCTCCGCCTCCTCCTGCTCCCGCCTCTGACCGATCCTCCTGTTCGTCCACGCCCTCTTGACCTTTCAATTTCTCGTCTAGTCCCTGCGTCCCCTCACCCTCCTCCCCCCGCTCCCCCAGCTGCTCGCCTTGTAGTTTTGGCCGAGTCCCCATTGCTCGCGATCGAAGTCTGGGCGGCAACTCTGGAAACGACTCCTGGAGCGCAACTTCTGGAGTACGGGAGCATCGTAGCATATCTCCCCTCGAGCCCCTTGGTTTAGTCAGGCGCTTATCTCATGACAGATCCCGCAAGGACCGTTTCAAGCGTGCCCGGCGATGGCGCGAATGGAGGCCCGGCGGCCCAGCAAGGACCGATGGGGGTGACATGGAATTGAGATTCGTTAAGGTTCGTCTTTTTCCCTACCTAGGCTCTGCCTAGACGGGTTCTTACTCTCTGGGTTTAAAAGGGGCTGGGCAGTGGAAAGCGCCCCGGGCGGCTCCCCCAGTATCCGCCCCGCGGTTCCCCCAGTTACGTCCCCTGAGCTTAGCGTTGCTTATCTCATCTTAGCTCAGCTTATTTCATCTTAGCTCAGCTTAGTTTCATATTAGATCAAGTTCATCTTAGGATAGCTTACCTTCATCTTAGTTTTGCTGAGCTTTAGCATAGCAGAGCACAGCATAGCATAGCGTACCATAGCGCAGCATAGCATATCATAGCATAACCCATCATATCATAGCATAACATAGCATAGCATAGCGCAGCTTCGCATAGCATATCATAGCATAACATAACCTAGCATATCATAACATAGCTTAGCATAGCACAGTGCAGCATGACATAGCAACGCTTAGCATAACATAGCATAACATAGCATAGCGCAGCATAGCATAACATAGCATAGCGCAGCATATCATGGCATAGCATAGCATAGCATAGCAACTAATGCTGCTTTCCTCGGGGCTCCAACTTCTAGGTAGGGTCGCACTGGGGTAATTTTAACAACGCCTGGAGTTCGCCCCTGAAAACCGTATCCCCTCTCTGCCTGCCAGGAGCTACAGTGAGCATCAAGATCCCTGGCGTCCCCGAGATAACCATGGCTATAAAATGGGACGGCGACGGCCGCGTGAACCCTGATACCATGCCCGTTGTCATGACCAAGTGATGACGCCTGAGAAGCTCCCAAGTGTGCCCGAGGAAGAGCCCGCGGAGCCCAGCGGCGCCCCCGGCGAACCAGGTACGCAGCCCGACTCAGACTTGGATCAGGCCTCACCCACGCAGCCAGACACAGACAAGCCCGATGAAAAAGGTGGCGACATACCAAAATTGCCTGTGATTGAGGTGCCCGACGACAGTCAATCTCCGCCCAAACGCTTCCGAGCCGCGAGCCCCCTTTTTCCCGCAGAGAGGGCTGAATTTCAATCCATGGTTGAGGGTGACCCGACATGGACTGACGCGCAGCTCCCTTATGGTGCGTCGCATGAGTCGCAGGACTATTAGAGTGTAGAGCTTGCCGTGGTATCGATAGCCCAATATCTCCCAAAAACATTATGTTGGGGTAAGCTGGACATGAGGAGAAGGATAACGAGGAGGAGAGGGATCGGGCAGGGCACGAGGTAAGTAAGGGAGGAGGTGGAAGGAGAGGGAGAGAGGGCACAGGAGGATCGAGCGGGGTGTGAGAGGAGCGGATGAGGGAGAGGGAGGCAGATGAATGGAGGAACCAGGGATGGGAGCAGTAAGTGAGGCAGCATAGAGGAGGGGGCGGACTAAGAGTCAGCGGGGTGAGAAGACGAAGAAGAGTCAGCGGGGTGAGAAGACGAGCAGCCAGTACCACTACCCCTGCCACCGCCACTACGACTACTACGGATATTACGAACCGTATTACAATGCTCCGTCACGGACTAAGATTAGCAGGGGTGTCCTACTATTGTTACTGCTACCATTAGTGCTACTGCTATTGCTACGACGGTTACTCTTACAACTAAGAGTACTTCCGCTAGTGTGATTAATATTACGCATCTAATACTGTGTACTAAGTACTACATATTACGCATTACTACCCGCGAGTTGCGACCTGCATCCGAATACCAACGTTTGCACGACGTACGACCTAAGACGTCGCACTAGTAGTGGTAGTAGTAGTAGTAGTAGTAGTAGTAGTAGTAGTAGTAGGCATCATCTAACATGTAGCATGCTGTAAGTTATGTCGCAGGTACTCGTAGATAGGTGATGGGTACAGGAGTGTCGGCAAGTATGTGGTCTTAGTAGCGGTTATCGGTGAGTATGGAAGTTTGTAAGCATGTAGGCGTGTCTATGAGGGTTGCAAAGGCCATGAAGGGTTATGGTGGTCTTAACGATTATAGATGCATGGGTAAAGGGTTATAACGGTTATCATGGTGATAAAGGGTTGTGATTGTTATGTATTGTAAAGGCTATGAAGGTTGCAAGGGTTATAATGGCTATGTTGGTATAGCGCTTATAGTTGCTATAAAAGGTATACGTGCTATTCTGGTTATAGCGGTTATCGTGGTTATGCATGTTGTAAGGGTTATGTTGATGTAAAGAGTATCATTGCTTGAACAGTTATGAACAGCTATAACGGGTTAGAAATGGTGATAAGGGTTGTAAGGGATATAAGGACTATACGGTTACAACGGTTATACAGTTTCTTCTGGGCGCCTCGTGGGGCCCTCCTGGTCCGTATTGGAGCCCTCATGGGGCCTCTGATGACCCTCATGGGCCGCGTTGGGGCCCTCTGTTGTCGTCTTCGGGACCTCTTTCGCAGTCAGTGGAACGTATTCGGGCTTTTTCCGGAAACGCGTTGGCGGTCTCATTAACGCGCCGTTTTTGATGACACCCTCAAGTTATGATCACATGTATATAAACATAGCACCCCCTTATGGAACTTTATAACCATATTAACTCATAGAGCGGTCAGAACCCTTATAGCCCCTATCAGGTTTATAACCCGTATCGCCCTAAAAACAATTTATAATTTGGCTTGCGCGATTACGTTGGCGTACATCTAGTCCCATGACCATTATATCACATATGACCCTTGGAAACCTCATACGCATTATCGCACAGGTAGCTTTTACAGCTGCAAAAAATCGTGTGTAACACTCGCACCCCTTACATCAACATGACCGTTAAGGCGATTGTAATCATGATAGCCCTTCGTATTTTTTATCAACCCATATATCCATTCGAACCCTTGTAGCCCGAACGTCCCTCATAACCAGGTTGACCATTGTAATTCTGATAACCGTGGCAGCCCATCCCCATAATTCTCATACCTTTCTATTCGCGAAAACCACCATAACCTGCATAACCGCTCACCGCCTTACAACATTTGTAATATGTGTACCATTTTTTAACAACCATCAGCATCTTCACAACATTCACACACTTCATGACCCGTAAATTATTTATAGCCAGATTCAGTCTACCTTCCTAAACTGCATAACCCCATTTAGCTCTTTTGACACGCATAACAGTTCAATCCTTTATACCCTTTGTGTAAAACTTGTATTCCTGATAGTCCCCATCAGAATTATAAACCGGATCCCTTCATAACCTGCACAGCACTCAGAACCCTTTGTAACCGTTGGGGCCCGTAAAGCCATAAGCGTTATGACTCGTATGATCGATTTTTCGTTATAGCCAGTCTTATCATTAAAACTCTTATATTTCGCAAGTCTTCTCACAGCAGCTATAACCATTACAACCCGCTGAATCATTATAGCCATCGCATGCACTGATTGCTCTTCTGAGGCCGTTATATCCGCTATAAGCATTATAACCCTTGTATTTTTCCTAACTTTATACCCCGCATATGAGTTCTAACCGCTCTAACCCTTTATAGCCGTTGTAATTTATAACTGTTATATTCTTTCTAACCCTCATAACCCTCCTAACACCTAGGCATTTTTAAGCCAGATCCGATTCCCTTTTATAACCCTATAACATTATCACTCTTATCGTACTTATAGCCATCACAACTTTTCTGAAACTTATATACTCTTCCAAACTTGC